AAAAAAAAAAAAAAAAAAAAAAGAATTAAACCGTGTGAAAGAAATTGAGCAAAATTAAATTTCCAAATGCAAAACTCCCATCATATAATTTGCCATTGTTAAGGAGAATTTTATAATATTTTAAAGGATGTTGTCTCAAATTATTGCATTCGATATCTTTAAATGAGTGATATAAAAGTTTGCCTTTCAATATCAGTCTTCACAAAACACCAAATGAGAGTTGGCAAGGCACACACATGTGGTCTGTGAATTCTTAGCCCCAGATATTATAAAGTAGACTATTAGAACTGTGCATTTGGAGCTTAGAGACTCTAACTAATACATTAATACTTCTATAATATTGGTTTAAACTTGTCATTTTAAAAATTTAGATATAAAATTTAAATACCATATCAATTAAATGTGTGAGGGTGCACCACCTTTAATTCTTTCATGAGAAAGGACTTGATTACTTACATAGTGCATATTGCCTCTGCTTGCTCTGAAACCCATAGACTAGTTTCTTTGTTTTCCCCTTAAATTTTTTCTTGCTCTCTTTTTCCCTTTTTAATTATTCACTTCCAAACTTATCTGTGATTATAGTGAATAGTGTTCAGCACTGTTATCATCCCTAGGCTTACTGAGATTACTGACCGACCAAAGATACATAGTGGGAATATCTTGAAAAAGAGGGCAGCCTCGAACAAGAAATATTAATATGACACTGTAAGCACTCAGTATGTGCCCTTCTTGTATGCAATAAACCACAAAATATTCTCTGTAAGAAAACATTGTTTATAAGATGCATCACTGATTTAAAAACAGCTCTAGAGAGTATCTAATGGGCTGCAACAATAAATGCCCACATAAATTACAAAACTCATCCTGATTTTAGAAATGTAAAAATATGAAAAATATTAGAATTTAAGAAATAAAATGTATTTATTATCAAAGAAATGTAAACAAGTTTGTTTTTGAAAGATTCTTTGATATTACTTTAGAGGAAACTAAAGTATCATTATGATGCAGTCTTTCATCTTTTTCTTCCCAATTCTTCCCAGGGACATCTGGCAGCTGCCTCCGTCGCTTCAGTACCATGCCTTTCATGTTCTGCAATATCAATAATGTTTGCAACTTTGCTTCAAGAAATGACTATTCTTACTGGCTTTCTACTCCAGAGCCTATGCCAATGAGCATGGAACCCCTGAAGGGTCAGAGCATTCAGCCATTCATCAGTCGGTGAGGCACTGGTTTAGCTTTAACTTGTACCAATCTGTAGTTACTTTAGCCAGTCAAAAATCAGTCTAAAAGCTAGTAATCGGATGATATTCCTCCCAAGTTAAGTAGAAGGTTTGCCTTTTAATATTCAATTCAGTATTTAGTTTAATCTTTAATTTGGGGGAAATTTGCTTTTGACCAGATCCTATGATATAATTCTACATGGAGAAATCTGTGATGAGTATATGAAACAAATGTGTTTTAAACTGACTTATCCTTGATGGACTAAAAGGACTTGAGATATAAGGAGTCCTAAAGGTGAAAGACATCTAGGCAGATAAAATGAGAATGGATAACAACTGTGTCTAGAATATAGTATTTAGAGGTTGCGTAGGTGTAAAGACTGGAAATTTAGCCTGGGCTAACTTTAATTAAGTAGAATGGTAGAATGCTTTCAGTGCCAAATTGTAGTTTGGAATTTACTTGTTGTAATCAGTCCCCATTTTTAAACTATACTTCAGGGAAGATTAAACAACCACCAGGATGTAACATATATTATAGAAAGGTTAGTCCTGAGGTAAACAGACTAGTTATATTGAAGAATATTGCTGTGGTTCTGATGTGAGAGGATCAGGTTTCACAGTGGGGGAAATGTATTACATTATTCAAATTGATAGGAGTTGGGCTGGGGATTTAGCTCAGTGGTTCCACCGCCTGCCTTGCAAGCACAAGGACTGGAGTTTGACCCCTAGTACAAAGTGATAGGAGTTGGCATTTGATTGGCAGTGGAAGGGAGAAAGTGCTAGTTGAGGTTTGGTAAAGTTTCCTGGGAAATTGTCACCTTGGAACCCTAGTTTAACTCATCTCCTAGGAAGGCTGGATAGTGCTACTTTTGTTTTGATCGTGACCCAGGGTTCTAGCAGCTATAAAGAATGAGTCACTAAAAAGTCTGGATTTTTTTATATTCAATATAAAGACTAAACCTTCAGTAGCAAATTCATACTTTGGGGATGACTTTGAGGATGACAGAGACAGAGAGAGACAGCATAAAAAGGAGGAGGAGGAGAAGGGAGGAGGGGAAGGGAAGAGGGAAAAAGAAAGAAGAAGAGAGAAAAGAAGAGAGGAAAGATTTTTTTATCAGTTTCAATTTGGGGGAGTAAACTGTTCTCTAAATATATTATATAGATAAAATTGGCCTCAGTCATATTTCAAGAGGCTCCCTAATGCTCTTTATTAAACATCTGGTAGACTCAGTTGTATTTACTTCATTGCTATTTTACTTGGTTGTATAGGTTCAGCCATATTTTCAAGTGCCTGAGTACTTGCCAAAAATTATGTATATATTGCATTTACCTAAATATAGCCAAATGGTTAATAAAGAATAAAGGGTGGAATTTTTTACTAAGAATAAAGGGTGGAAATTAAGGAAAATGTCTACTGTCTTTTCCAGTTTACCAGACATTGTTCTCAACACAGTTGCAGCATTACCAAATGGCTACTCACCATTTGGGTAGCTTGACATCAAATAATATATGCAATACACAAAGCCAAAATGTTAGGTCAGTTATGGCATTGACTATAGTGTATATGAATTTTGGGCAGAATGGAAAAGTGCTATAGAAGTGGTCCTTATTTTTCTTGAAAAATTATTACAATTTTAATTTATAGTTTTATTACATATAGTCAATACTCAAAGGGCATTTGGTCCTTTTCTGAGCCTTGAAGACACCTTAAGGGGCCTCTATCCAGGAAGGCTCCCAAAGAAGACTCACACTCATTCTATTCTCTCTTCCTTTGCATTACCAGATGTGTAGTATGTGAAGCTCCAGCTATGGTGATTGCAGTTCACAGTCAGACCATCCAGATTCCTCATTGTCCTAAGGGATGGGATTCTCTTTGGATTGGTTATTCCTTTATGATGGTATGAAACACACTTTCTTGCCTTTGTCATCATAGCCGACTGTCCATCATTTGTACATTTCTCCCCAATTTGAGGAATGAATTCCTGTCACTTCTATATAGTAAAAATCTTGAGGTTTAAATAGCTTCTGTCTAGGCACTATGTTCCCCTTCCCACATTTTTTATAAATATTTCCATAATCTACCTGTTGCTTTTATTGACTATCCTTGATGTCAGTGCTATTCTTTTACTTGCAGCCCTGGTCCTCTTCACTATATTTGAGTTTTTGGCTAAGCTAGATACACATCATTAGATATTCAGTAAGATACTATGGTACAGGAGTATGATGGCTCATCTTTTTTTCTTGTCTAGCATACAAGTGCAGGGGCAGAGGGCTCAGGTCAAGCCCTGGCCTCACCTGGTTCCTGTTTGGAAGAGTTTCGTTCTGCTCCCTTCATTGAATGTCATGGGCTAGGAACCTGTAACTACTATGCCAACTCCTACAGCTTTTGGCTGGCAACTGTAGATATGTTGGATATGTTCAGGTAAGGCACTGTGGCTTTAGTTCAGGTCCAAAGCTTCTTTCAGAGATGCTAGGGAAGAAGGCAGAAGCAATTAATGGATGGTTTATCATATTATTAGGAATGTATTGGTCTGTGTCCTTTATTCTTTCTTTATGTTTTTCCATTACTTTATTCTTGCTTGTTCTCCTTAAATTCCTAAATCAGGTTGGAAAAATAGACGGAACTGATATTGGGTAAATAGGAATTCTCCAATAACAAAACAGAGACAGAAAAGGTTAGATGACCTGCTCAATAATAAAAGTCAGCAGCTATTCTACTAGAATGGGAACACATAAGGAGTTGAAGCTACCCTTTGTGTTCTCCAATCCACTAATTTCTTTTTCAAAAATGTTTGAAAAGCTACCATCTAAGGGTTTAAATGAGTAAGATCATACACAGTACATGTACCTCAGGATACTTCAATCTATTGAAAGTGTTTTCAGGTTAAATTTATTTTTAAATTAGTACATGTTTGCAGTACATAATGACTGCATTTATCATGGAGCGTTGGTACATATACATAACACATCTTAATTCTTTTTTCATCCCCTATCCTTCCCATCTCTCCCTCCTCTTTCCATCTCTTAGTCCCTTTCCCATTTGCAAAAGCAAATGTTCCATTCTTTTCTTTTCATCTCCTCCCTCCACCATCTCTTGCCTCCCTTCTCATGTGAAACAGATCTCTTTTCTTCCTATTATCTATTTTTCATTCTTCTCTTCATTTGCAATATGGGTTTCTCATGTAAGAGAAACCATGCAATATTTAAGTTGTGTGTCTGATTTATTTCACCTAATATTATGGTCTCAAGGTACATCCATTTACCCAGAATGTCTCAAGTTTATCCTTCTTTGTTGCAGACTAGTAGTCTATTGTGTAAAAAAAAACACACACATTTTCTTTCTCTGTTCATCTTTTCGTGGACACAGGTTATTTCCAAGATTTAACTGTTATAAATTGTGCTGCTATAATCATAGGTATGCATGTATCATTGTAATATAATGACTTTAACTCTTCGGGGATTTTTTTTTTCATGTGTTGGTTCCTTTGAATTATCATTACTTAACATTTTTCCATGGTCTTTATCATGTGTCAGTCATCAGTTGCCTGGATCTCTTTCCTTATATGAATATTAGAGAAATCTATCAGACAAAGAGAGGAAAAGACAAATACATACAACATAATAATGGCAGAGAGAACAATCACAAAAGTACTTATGAGCAGAAAAGTTTCTTAGACAATACCAGTTACTAATATACATGACATTGGCTAAAAGTAATCCATTAAATTATCAAGAGAGCTATTTTTAAAAAGAAAGAAGAGTTCAGGTATCAATTTGAATGGCTAACAGAATTGAAATACTAGAAAAGGTAAAGAATTGCAATCAGAAAAGGTGACTCTGATTTTCTTGTTTCTTTTTTCTCAGTAAGCCTCAATCAGAAACACTGAAAGCAGGAGACTTGAGGACACGTATTAGCCGATGCCAAGTATGCATGAAGAGGACATAACATTTTGAAGAATTCCATAGAAAAGGTAGAATTGCAATCAGAAAAGGTGACTCTGATTTTCTTGTTTCTTTTTTCTCAGTAAGCCTCAATCAGAAACACTGAAAGCAGGAGACTTGAGGACACGTATTAGCCGATGCCAAGTATGCATGAAGAGGACACATA